TAATCTATGTTAGAACTGACAATCATCTTTTGCACACGGTTGGTTTTCAAAATAATTGTGGCTAAAGTACAGGAGGCATAACAACTGAAAAAAGTATTTTTTTAAAGTTCAATTATTTCCAGGGGGATAGGGAGGAGAAAGAGAGGAATGCATCCTTGACAGAAATTTCATGCAGTATCCTTCACTTAGCCCTGCAACCAACCAGGAGTGTTGAGGAAGACCCAGGACATGAATCTGAAGCCTTCCCACAGAGTCTCTGGGATTGTGTAGCAGTGGCCCTATTGTCTGTGCCACCACAGCTGGGCCAGCAATGAAAAATTTTAAAGTCCTATTTCAGCATGAATAGCAGTTAGCACAATCTGACTGCTGTCTTTTAAAACAGAAGATATTTCTGAAAACTTAAAATGAATTAAAATACTAGCATAATTTTTCCCTTGTAGAAGGTAATTCCATCTAAGAAACATTTTTAAGTAGTAATATAATTATACAAATAAACTCAGTATTTAAGCAGGCATTTATTACAACCAGCTATATTAAATAATAACAGTGTTTATAGTTTAGTAAATTATTCATGGAATTACTAATTTCTACAGGAACCATGCTAAGATCTGCCAAGAAATAAAGGATATAATATTGGCTAAGGCCTAGCTACAGTGCCAAAGGTAGTTCATACTAACTTACAGTGTGGGGAACAGTGGGTTCAGAGCCTGAGTCTACCTGAAATATACCAGGTGCATGTGTACCAAAGATCCTGACTAGGTGGGGGGCTGAGAGAAGGGGATCATGGTATGATGAGATCTGGTCAAGGTTGCCTCTCTTGCCCCTACAATTGTTTTCTCATGAAATAAATAAAATAAACAAACAAATAAACAAAAAAGGTTGGCTTCAACATCCAACACTTCAATAGAAGAGAAAGACTTAAAAACAGGGACCAGCAGATAGCATAATGTTTATGTTGCTGGACTCCCACATAGTTGACTGTGGTTCGAGTCCTGCACCCAAGAGCTTAAAACTCATACTGGGTATGTGTGCATGCGTGCCCAAAATATTGAGAAGAGAATGGAAGAGAAGGGATTATGGCGTGGCCTTCCCCTCTTGGGGGGTGATTTCTTGCTTTCTGTCTCTCTCTGTCTCTCCAATGGGTGCACGTAGCCTACTGCACAAACTTCTCTTTCAAAAAATAAAAACTTAAGGGGACTAGCAGTTAGCGTAATGGCTATGGTGCTGGACTCCCATGTAGTCAACTGCAGTTCACATCCTGGACCCGGTCGCTTAAAACTCACACAAGGCACGTGTGAGTGCGTGCGCAAGATCCTGAGAGGAGAATGGAGGAGAAGGGATTGTGGCGTTGCCTTCCCCCCTGGGGGATGATTTCTCGCTTTCTGTCTCTTTGTCTCTCTCTGTCTGGCGAGCGCATGTGCCCTATAGCAAAAACCTCTCCAAAAATAAAATAAATTTAAAAAATACTTAAATACATTCTACAAAACAAAAGTTAAATAAACAAGACAATATAGCAAACCTACTGAGTACTGTGTATGAATAATCAATTACAGGACTCAGGAGCCATGAGCACACCCACCTGCCAAAAAAGCAAAAGTTAGCATTTGAATGAAGCCTTGGAAGATAATTAGTACTTTGTGGACCTTTCAAGATGGCAGAAGGGGACTCTGGGATACATGATCAAAAACATCAAGGAATAGGTTGCAAACATATTCTTACCCCATCTTTCATTTTTCTTAGCAGACAAGGTCAACTGCTACTTCTTGGGAAAAAAATAAAAGGCATTCCTCTCCTATATCTCAAAACTTAATGACATTTCCATTTCTCTCTCGCCCCCCTTTAATTAATTCTCCCCCATTCCTTCCCTCAGCTGAATTCTCCAAATTGTTCTGGACCCTCTTGCTGCCTGTCTCCTATCAGATCTTGGGCCGGTGCTCACCTTCTCCCTCCTTCCCTCTGTGACCTAACTTTTGAAAAATTAGTCGGTGTTTGTTATTTTTACTTTATCTCTAGGTCACTAACCAGTTACAGAAGTTCAACTCTCTTCTAAATCTTCCACAACGTGTTCTTTTTGTTCGGTGAAATGAGGATTTACTTTGATTTTATTTGTACTTTGTTATAAAATAATTTAACCGGCATTTCTTCTTAAAATTCATTTGCTATATTCAGGAAACAGAGAATGCATAGTCTCTGACCAGGAATTCTTATATCGAGAAAGTAAAGTGTTAAAGAGCTGAGACGCTTAAGTATTTTCATATAGAACCTGTTATTGTAGTGATCAATGAGAATCTTGAATCGGAAACAAGCTGTTCTCTCAATGTGATCTTTCTTGCCTTAGAGTTCCTTCTATTTTGTGAAATGAGACTAGGTAGGGTGTACAATTCATTTTCCTCAACAACATAAAGGACGTACTTTTAAGGAAATTATTTCATACAAGCCACAGCCCTTAATCTTTTTCAGAGCATCGGAGTAAGATAAGGTTTGATAGCTAAGACTCCATACTGACATAAGTAGGTAAGTGACGGAGTCCCTGTCCCTGATTGATGTTCCAGTTTTCTGGCAGTTTCATTTCCTAAAGGAATAATGGCAATGATTTCTCCTCTTACATACAATAAATAGCTAGAACTCTCCATAACTTATTTTGCTCACCTTTCTTGCCTTCAGAGCCAAATTTATCAGCACCCACTAGCCACCTACACTGATTTCAAAAGTGCAAAGAATCATCCATATGCTATATACATGCAAGTCTTTTCCTGACAGTGAGAGTAACACACACTAGTCCATAAACTGTAGAAGAATACACAGATCTCAGCTCACTTTTTCTGATTTCCTTTATAATCAACACTTTAGTTCACTGAACAATCCAATTATCTCCCCTTATTTTTAAAAATAAGTTTAATCCCCACACACCTCTCCTTTAAAAAAAAAAAAAAAAGGCTCTCCTTAGAATAGACAACGAAGTATATCATAAACTTCTGTCCTCCTAAGGAACAGAGTTTACAGACTTACCAAATGCACTAGATATTACAGAAATTTCACAAACATTTATCAGCAAGCCGATTTATATGTAATACTGTTTAAATGTCACCAAACACATGTATTAACTAAAGATCAGACAAACAATTTCAGGTCAAATTCTAACAAGAAGAGGTGGGGGAGAGACTACAAATAGAGCCCACATTCCATGTCTAAATATTAAAAAGTTACAAGTGAAGTTGAACATTAAATAAAACATAGCCTAATCCTCCAATCTTGACAAATACACCTTCAACTACCTGGAGGCATAGGTTCAAATTCAGAATTTTTTTTTTCTAGAGAGGTTTCTGCTATAGGGTGCATGTGTTCGCTGGAGAGACAAAGAGACACAAAGATAAAAAGCAAGAAATCACCCCCCAGGGGAGATAGCTACACCACAATTCCTTCTCCTCTAGTCTCCTCTTGGGATTTTGGTCACACATGCACATGCACATTAACATGGCATGAGTTTTAAGCTACTGGATCCAGGACTCGAACCATGGTCGGCTACATGGGAGTCCAATGATGTAACCATTACACCATCCACTGGTCCCCAAATTCAGAATTTTTAGCCTCCTTGAAGTTCCACACCAGCCCATGCCCTGCTCTTCCCATTTCCCATTGATTCCTTGGGTGGGTATGGGGGTGCTTACACATACATGTAGACATCCTACTCACCTCAGACCACTATCTCTTAGCTAGCCCTCAGGCCTTAGGGTATTCTGGTTTTACTATCTTAAGAAGAGATCCGGGGAAGGGACCAGCAGATAGCATAATGATTGTGTTGCTGGACTCCCACATGGCTGATCACAGTTCAAGTCCCGGACTTGGTGACTTCAGACTCATGCCACGGACAAGTTCATGCATGCCCAGAATCCTAAGAGGAGAATGGAGGAGAAGGGATTGTGGCATGGCCATCCCCCCAAGGGGTGATTTCTCGTTTTCTGTCTCTTTATATCTCTCTGTCTCTCCAGTGAGCACACACCCTATAGCAAAATCTCTCTTAAAAGAGACCCATGTAAAAAGCCTATGTAGATCCTGGAAGCAGGTTCTGTGCTGTTCTAGAGTAGGAAATTCCAGTGGGGTAGGAGGAGAAAGGGCTTAGGCTAGTCAGATTCCTTGGCCCCCTCAGTTCCTTTACTCTGTGGGGGAAGGGTTGCCAAGGAGGTTCTTTTAATAATGGGTCCCAAAACCGGCCTCTCTTAACCAGAACTAAGAGCAATAATGGATTACCAGTGGAGGCTATACCAGGGCAGTCTTAATTACTAGTTAATATACTGCTTGTTGCTAGGTATTTAAAAATAAGCTAAATATATAAATATGGAAGTAGGTAGACAAAATCTGTAATTCTAGTCTCAAAACAGTTTGGTTCCCTCAAGATCTATAATCAAAGGCTCTAATACTTATCTGGATCTCTCCTACCAAACTAAATCCAGATTCTGCGCTCTCTTTACAAAGTCACACAATTATACAGATTTCTATCCACATGTTAGAGAGAGTAGAAAGTAAGAAGCAGAAAGAAGAGGGGAAGGAAGCGAACACAGATATCAAAGACAAGATCAGACATGCAGACCAAAGAGTAGACATTCCCTTATGTTCTGCAGCTTGTTGGGGAAACTAACAACACCACAATTAAGCATCTGATCAAAGTTCAGTGTCACAGCAAAGTCAGTACCACAGCTTGATCTCACAAACACAATTGTGCAGTGCGCTCATTTGCCTCCTACGCCCCTATCCTAACCATTGTGTGTGGAGTAAGTCAAACGGAACCTTGTCAGCATTCAACTGATGACAGCTCTCCCTGCACAGAATCTCTGACCTCATCATAATTTGCAATACACTTTCCACTTAGCAAAATAAAAAAAAAAGAAGAAAAAGTTCTGTTAATTTAAATAAACTAATAACATAATTCTCATCACAATACATATATACACTCCATAAGAAGGGAAGTATTTCAACTGGAAATCTTATTTATGTGTACTTACTGAGATTGTACCATTGTCTAGACCTATGGA